GGAAGCAGATTCCACCGATGACCCGCCCGTCTTTGATCAAAGCCAGAGTCTTGTGCTTCCTAAGAAGAAAGGGGGCATGTCACAGTCCCTACCTGTCCCCTAGTGCTCCTTAGCTCCTCACAGCCCCGGAGGACTGAACTGTAGTCAGGGATAGGAACTTGGGAGCGATAATTTTCAAAGGCTGGGCCTCAGAATTGGGAAGGTGCCCCCTAATTTTGAGGAGTGGGAAACCAAGGAGTAGAGACTCTCGTGTGTGGTGCCCCGAGGGGTAGGGGCCACCCAGGGACGCACGGGTCAAAGACGAGGCGGGCGATATACTCCTTGGGCATGCGTGGCAACTGGTGGGAGAAGACATTCTGCAGCCCCACAAGCCAAAGCAACACCCTCCGATTGGCCTTGGGTGTCAGCGAGTTGCCAATGACATGGAACTCGATGATGCCGCGGCGCTCCTCCAGACGGGCTGTCTCATCCCGGGCCGCATTGGCTGACAGCAGGCTTGTCTAGATAGAGCAGGGGAGGTGAGCAAGGGCCTCAGGTGGGGTGAGGGCTCCATTCTCCCACTGGACAATAGGCTGGGCTGCCCACCTCAGGCCCCAGCATGGCGGCAGGGTCAGTGATAGTCAGCATGACCTCGTTGACCAGCTCCATGGGGATATCGCCCATCACACGGAGTCGCTTGGCATCCTCAAGTGTCAGGTTCTCTGGAAGCTTCCTCTTCTCGCCTGCTGAGGAGGTTGGCAAGGTCACCCAGAGACAGAAAGGCTGAAGGAAAGGTGAGAAAAGGTCAGAGGCCAGGGGTCAAGTACGCACCTGGCATGGGCTCGGCCCCTGCAGAATCCAGACTCAGGGAGCTGTTGCTGCCCCCGCCCATGGTGGGGCTGAAGATGGGGGTGCTGGGAACAACTGCTGCACTGACTGTAGCTGAGAGAGAGAAAATATCAGGGACAAGGAGTAGGTATTGGCAGGTCCCTCAAAAGAATCCAAGCCCTCTCGGCCCCAGCCAAGCCTGCCCACATTTTCCCACTGCTGCCATTCCCAGTTCTTTTACCCCACAGGAGGAGGGAGGGGAGCTTCTTTCAGCCAAGCAGAGACCCCGCAGAGCCTATTGTGCCACATACCTGGCCGGGGAACCAACTGTGCCCCTTCTGAAGGTGGCATGGTGAAGCCTGACTCCCAGATAGGAGAGTTTGCCCCGTAGATCTCCTCCTCAAGCATGGACAGGAATCTGTGCAGAGGGTATAGACTGTCCCACAACTCTGTCCTCCAGCTCTGCTGCAGTCTGGGTCAGGCTCCAGAGGGACTGGAGGCCAGCCAGACAAACCTGCTCTCAGGGGGCTGGGAGCTGAGAGAGAAGACAGCCTCCGCCCTCTGGGAAGCCCTAGTTGGAAGGGGGAGAAACAGCCCCCTGCTTCCTCTAATTGAAGGTAAGAGGACAGGACACACCCAGGGCTGGGATCGGAGATCCAGTTTTGCCGTGATGGGCAGCACAGGGAGACAGGGTCTGAGCTGATGCCATCCATGCTGTGTGGTCAGGCAGGGCACCAAGTCACCCGAGTCCCCTCACTCCCCTTAATATCAAAATGAGCTGAGAATCCACCCCATCTTGCCACCTCCTGTTCCCACCTGGTGGCAGGAGGGGCACTAGAGGGCCAGGATTAGTCAGCAAAGACTTTTTGAACAGAAGAGCTACAAGCCAGGTTAAAAAGGGAGGAAGGTGTGGCAGAACTGAGGTAAGTTTACAGAAATGACTAGAATAGAGGTGGGAACTGGTTTCACCTCATGCATAAACTCTGGTTTCTTGCAATGCTGTGGTGGTAAGGATTCTGAGGCTGTGTCCAGGCTCCCATGGGAAACAATTAGTAACATCTACAAGGGGTGTGGGAGGGGGTAGCGTTAGCTCGGGCCATGTACCTGCCATCCCCAGACTAGTACGTGCAAAGGCAAATACTAGCAAGTTGCTTCTGGGCCATGGGCAAGTCTGCCAGGTAGACACCCAGATCCCAGAAGGCCCATGGAGGGAGAGGAGGGAGCAATCCAGGAAGCCTTCCTGGAAAAAAGGGGACAACAGCGAGGATGTGAACTTGGGGCAAAACCCCAACAGGCCAGACTGAGCCTTACTTGGGAAAGTGAGTAAGGATGAGGGTCCTCTTCTCAGGCACCAGCTTGTCCTTTTCTACTCGGAACTTTTCCAGCAGCTGCCGGCGAGTAACAGTGAAAATGGACCGTAGAAGGCTTCGTCCAAAGACGTGGGTGGTCTCATAGCGGGGGAGGCTATCGCAGCTCTGGGGAACATGGCAGTAACACAGCCATCTGGAAGTAGAGGGTTGGCAGGTGAGGGTGGAAACCACTGAACCTGGTTCACAAGCCTCCCCCATGAGTGCCTGGCTGGACCTACCTGGTGTAATTGACCTTGTAGGTAGCCACATCCTCTGACTGGGACCTCTGCCGAAACTGGGCAGGTGTCTCAAGCTTCCAGTAGTTAAGGCAGAGCAGGAACATCTTTGAGAGCTCGAACATTGTCTGCCGCTCTCGGGGAGCCAGGTGACTAAACTTGTACTGCACAAAGTTCAGCACACCCTGAGAAGGAGGGTAGGGGGATGAAACCGGAAGGAGGCGTGATCAGCCAGCAGGGGCTTCTCACCCAAATAAAGACGCTCCAGGAGGGTAGGGACAAGGCTCCTCTCACTCTGGGACTCTCTGTGAAGAGACACTATGCCCCTCCCCATCCCCATGCCCAAGCTGAGGTTAGCACAGGACATACTCCTCTATGAACCTCTCCCCTGTTCTTGGCTTGAGGAAGACAGAGGGCATCAGAGGTTCCCCACTCCTCCAAGCTGCCCCAAATACTCCTCTTACCACCTTCCCCGTCCCACCTGTTCAATGTTAGGCTTCTCAAAAGGAGGGCTGCCCAAGGACCCCTCCACAACAGGCCGGGTCATCTGTAGAATGCATTTCCGCAAGAGCTGGAGGGAAGAGAAAAAGAGGAGTAGAAGACAGCAGAGCTCAAAGCTGTGGACCCTCCCCCACACAAATGGGTCACCTCCTTAATTCACACCTTCATTCCCTGAAAGCTCACCTTGAAGAGGTAGAAATAAACCTGCTTGGTGTCTGTGTCTTCCTCCTTGTGAACAGACATGAACAGATTCTCCACATCCACCACCATCCCCAGCAGTCGATTAATCTCATCCTCTGACACATTCTCCAGGTGGGATACATGGTCAGCTTCAAAATGGACAGGTGATGGAGTTGGGAAAAATGTACAGAAATCAACTGGGTTTCCTGCACTTTTTCCCAACCAGCCATGATACACCCTATTCCCTCTACCCAGTGTGACCAACATTGAGACCGAATGCCCTTATATTAGTATTTGGATGGTCCCTGCCTCTTCTTGTCTGGTAGATTTCTTTTCTCCTTTCTTGGAGCATACACACCTCTAACCTAATCTCTCTTGAGGTGGGATCTCTGGTTTTTCTAAGAGGCTTTGTAGCTTTTAAGTCACCTGTCCAAACAGGATCCAGAACCTGCCCTCCACCCCAGCTCCAAGGGCGATGCCTGCCTTACCTAAGGGGTGCTCACAGCTGCGGCAAAGCTCGCTCAGGTTGGCAGCTGGCTGCTGCAGGTCCATGCGGGGTGCGGTGGGGGGCTTGGGGTTTTTCCAACCATTACACTTACAGGTTTCATTGGCCTGGAGGCAGAAGGTTCAGATGTATGACGCTTTACCCGTGGAGCTGGGGCCGCTCGGTATCCAGAGCTTTGCCCCCATTTCCACCGGAGCCCTGGGATGCCCCAAGCCCCGCCCCTTCGCAGTAGGCCCCGCCCCCACCTTGCAAGCCGAGAAGACCCCTAGCTTCTCAAGCTTCTTGGCACGCGGCAGACCCCGGACTTGCGCCTTCCTCTGGCTGGCGCGCTGCTGCTGGCTCAGGCCAGGTCGAGCCGGATCCCCCCCGCTCCCAGTTCCTCCACTTCCCACCCCGGGCCCCCCGGTCCCTGTGCTCCCAGCTGGGGCTGCAGCTGGAGCGGGGGCTGGTGCCGGAGTGGGAGCCGGAGTCGGGACTGAAGCGGGGCTGGGCGCAGGAGTCGGAGTTGGGGCAGGGGCTGGGGAATGAAGGGGCCGGGGCTGCGCGGCCGTGGCCGGGGTCGGGGCCTGGGAAGGTTCCGCCATGGCCTCCCCAGCAGCGGAGCGGCGCCGCGCTCCCAGCCCTAGGGCCGCATGGGCAACCGGCACGCTGTGCGCAGGCGTCGCTGCACCGGCGCACGATGGGAGTTGTAGTTTTGCTCCGCCGCTCCCCACTGCCTCTGCTTTCCAGACTTTTCTGTCTTGTCTTTTGGTCCAGGACAACCACGTGAGGCCCCAGCGAGCACCTCATTTTGGCCGCTCCTCACTTGTAATTTTTCTTGAAGCTATATGGGTAGTCACGATTGCTCTCTTCTTGGGGACAAGGAGCATTCCAGAACACAGGCACCTGTTTGGGTGATTTGTGGATTCTGCCCCTCCCAAGCCCACAGGTTTGGGCCAGGATGGGCCACCCACTACCACCACGGTCACCTCCAGCACCACCACCCAGCTCCCGTCAAAAGATCTGCTCCATCTAGCTCCAGACACAGAATTGCAACTACCGGGGAGATTAAATGTAACAATTCAACATCTCATGCTATGTGGTGGTGATACTGGTGTTAGCTTTGTGACAGTTGAACCCTTTTGAACACTTTTTTTGTTACACTTCAACAAAGAATTTATTATCAAAACACGGAACATCAGAGGCACAGCAGTGACCACAATAGTCATGAAGAAAGTTACTAGGTTGGGGATGAGGCTGAGGATTGAGGGCCAAGAAAGCTGAAGCCTCCCCAGAGGGAGTCTTTATAGTCCCAGAGCTAGAGTGATGTCCACATCCCTCCCCATGTGTCAGCACTGGATTGTGCATAGTCAGGGAAAAACAGAGAAGGGGAGAAAGTCCCATCTGATGACTGTGCTCAGGAAACAATCCTCCTGGCCCAGGCCTGGTTCTTAGAAGACAAAATGCTTCTAGCCCTGAGCCTCAGTCTGATGTATGCAGTTGGTTCCAAAGATCCAGTTCTGTTACAGCCTCAGCCCTCTCAGGCAGATAGGGAGGGAGAGGGTTTGAGGTAAAAGCAGCCTCGGTTGACATGCTGACACTTGGAGGTAGGACAGGCATGGCAGACCCCAAACTATAGACTTAAGCAGCTGCGAAGAGAACCGAGGAACTAGGGTGGAGGTGGGGCCTCGTGAGGCACTTCCTCTTGCGCGCTTGCGCACCTACCCAAGCTCTGAGCTTTGCACAGACAGCCTCGCGCCCTTCAACAGCAGTTGCTCACTCGGATGCAGCAGGTCGGTAACAGTTTCTCCAACCAGAGCCCCAGCGTGGCCCTCGCTGAAAGTAACCCGGTGGCCACACTGCCGGTGAGACTGCTCAGGGATGATCAGGTCGCTGTGCAGGGCAGTGACCATGCTAAAAGTTTCCAAATGAAGATGAATGCTCATGGCTTCACCCCTGAGGAGCTGGTGGTGCAGGTGGACGGCCGAAACCTGATGGTCACCGGCCAGCGGCAGATAGAGAGTACCGACCCGGTTAGGGGAGGTTACCGCATGGAACAGAAGGTGCACCGGCAAATGCAACTACCTCCGGGCCTAGATACCACCGCCATGACCTGCTGCCTGACCCCTTCTGGCCAACTGTGGGTCCAAGGCCAAACCCAGTCGCCGCATCCTCCTGAAGCCCTAACAGGATCATCAAGTTTCAGAAGCCGTGGCTCTAAGAAGGGTTCAACCTAGCTTGGCCTAGTAAACAACAACCGTGGTGTGCAGCAAACTTAAGTTGTCTCCTGTCTTTTCTGGGGATGAATGAGGTCAGAGGTAGGGGGTTGGAGCTATACATAGAAGGATGGAGGAAAGGCACCTCCAGGTAGTGGTCCACCAAGAATCAGATCTCTGGCCCCTGGAGAAGTAGGAGGGGGCAGTGTGGCCTTAGCTGCCAATCAGAGTTAAAGCCGGGAGCAGCAGAGGGCTGGCAGGGCCCAAATGTGACCTGACTTCAGAACTAGCAGAAAGCCCTGAGATCAGGATTGGACTTCGTGTAGGTAGGGGTTGCAGTGAAGGACAAAAGTGGTGAAGAAAGCAAGGGGCTGCAAACTTGGCCTCTTGTCCAGTCCTGAAAGGATCCATCCCTCACAGGCTTGGTATAAGCCACCACGACCAACAAAACAAAAACAAAAAAACACCACAGAGGTTGTTTCTTCAGAGTCCAAAGATTTTTTTTTTTCAACCCAAGCTACATATCCCCCAATGTAAGCTGGTGGGGGATAGGCCAGGGGATGGTTTAAAGGCAAATGCAGGACCCTTAACTTCAAACATGTTCAGCCCCAAGTCAGTCCTATTCCACCCGCTACCCATCAGAGCTAACAGCAAGAACCTCTTTCTCTTGGTTACCATGACCACCAGCATCCCCTCACATTAGGGGGGAAGCTTTTGTTTAGCAAGATTCAGTGGTTCATTTAAATTTAGTGAACTAGAAAGGACATGGTCTGATAAACACTGCCAGAGAAAGACGAGGAAGACAAGTGTGAGGTCGATCGATCGGCTGACTATATTGACAAGATACTGATTGGTTACATGTTGAAGAAAACATACAATACAAAATACAGAAAAAGTTGGTTCCATCCCCTCCCACTCCCCCCCTTACCCACCCACCCCCAAATACTCATCATCGTGATTTGGTCAGAACAGGGCTCAGAGCCAGAGGTCAGGTGACCGAGGGTGGAGGGGTCATGGGCAATGGATGCATGGCTGTCACAATGATGCTGCGGTAATGCTGCGTTTTCTCTCCCAGCTGGGAGTTGGGTGGGAAGGAGGCTGCAGCCTGATGACAGCCAGCTGAGGGCAGAGCTGCCTGTCCCCTTCCCAGCCCAGGGCCTGCCCACCACCCCAGACTAAGACCACTCCCAACAAGGTAAGGATGTGGATGCTCTTGCTAAGGCTGCTCTTCAGCAAGAGGGAAGGGAAGGGAAGGGAGGGGTAACTGTTCCAAGCCCCGACCCCACAGACAAGGGGGTGGGGGGCAGGAGCATGTGGCTACTACCAGCAAAGGACAAATGGGAGAGTATAGTAGAAAGGGGGGAAGTGGGAAGAGCAGAAGATCATATATATTAAAAAAGTGACTTAAGACTTAAAATTGAATTAGTATTTGTACAGAAAGGTGCAGGTGGAATAACTCCCTCCGGCCTAGGATCAAAGTTATACTGAGAAATCATGGTGGACCCCTCCCCTGCCCCCAGTGGTGGCCCGAGTCGTTAAGTGCGATTGGTTAGAGTGGATTCCAGTCGGGTCATTCAGGCGGAGGAGGTGGGGGCAGTGGCAGGCAAGGGGGGCTCAGTTGCTGCAGCACTGGCTCCGGCTGGCTGGGTTGCTCTCCTGGAGGTTCACCCCTCGGGTCCCGCCTGGAGCACCAGCTGCATTCTGAGGCTCGTTCTTGGGAAGCTTCTTAGCTGTTTGAGAGAGAGAGAAAATGTAGCAGTAGGGCCACCCCAATACTCTCTGCCAACTGCACTGGAGCAGTCTGGTCCTTACCTACTAATCAGTGCTAACAAATGGAGGACTGCTGTCACCAAGTACATTTTGAGTGTTTCAGAAAACTGAGGCATAAGAGAAGTTAAATACCAACACCACAGAGCTCATTAGTGGCAGAGCCAGGAATGAACCCAGGCAGGATGACTCCTGAGTCAAGTGAGCTAAAAAATCCTAAGAAGGGGTAAAGGACAGCAATGGCAGGCTCTGAAATGGGTGGCAAGTGAAGAGTCAGGAAGTAAAATGTTCAAACTTTGCCTCGGGCTTCAGACAGTGCTCAGTTCTCTTACGTGTGGGAGTCAGATGGAAAAGACAATGAGTTTATCAGAACGTTAAAAAAAAAGTGCAAGTTCTGTTGAAGGGACCCCACAGACCCACTAGAGAATAGCACATAAGCAACATGCCTTTGGTGATGGTGGGAAGGGGACAAGAGGCAACTTACCTATTGCCATGAAAATTTCATTCACGTTCATTGCAGTCTTTGCTGATGTCTCCATGAACAGCAAACTGTTGTCATCTGCATAGGCCTGTGCTTCCTGATTCCCGACAGAGGCCAGAAAGAGGATGGAAAGGAAATGTTGGCAGGGGCCAGGGCCCCGGATAAAATGTTCACTGTTCACAGTCTTTACGTACAATAGAGACTGACTGGACAAATGCAGGGTTTTTAGGACTAAGCTCCCCTGCTCCAGGTTCGCCCTGAGGTCTCTGCTCCAGACTCCCGGCCCTCTTATTCCACACAGCATCCTAGCTCACCAGTATAAGCAGATGCCTTACTCTAGCTTCCCTAGGTCCATTCTGCATTCTTGCCCTTCAAAATCACCAGGCTTGGACATACTTCTGGAAGTTATCTTACAAATACACTTGCACATTTGGGCAAAAGCACCAAAGTATGAGGATGCTACTTGTCATTACAAACTACCAGAAGTTATTACAAACTACCTAGAAGCCCATCAATTAGGACCTGGCCCAAAGAGAAATTAGAAAACACAGTATGTATAGCATACTGCCATCTATGCAAAGAAAGAGATTCATAAACATATGGACATTTCTGGAAAGATAAACTGGGGAACTTCAGGGAAGAAAGGCTGAGTTTCTAAGGAGAAAAGAGAGTGAATGTATAAATTTTACTGTGTACACATTTTATATGAAAAGAGGACTTCTTTATCAGGAAACTCAGTTCTTAAGATGAAATAAGAAGCTTCACTCATTCACAAACACACCCATCACCAAAGAAAAAGAACAAGGGAGAGGCAGGTGGCAGTTCCTCCAAGGCCCAAGGTTGAGCCATGGAGGAAAGGAGATGAAAGCTGCGTGCAGGTCCTTGTGTGGCCCTTTATACAGCCCCTGAGCAACCCAGGGAGGCCTGGTGGAGCTGGCTCACACATCCCCAAGTCCTGTCATTTCCCCACCTGGAACTCCACGGCTCTCTTGCTGGCCAGGTCTGCCTTGTTACCCGCAAGTGCAATGACGATGTTGGGGCTGGCCTGCCTCTGTAACTCCTTCACCCAGTTCTTGGCCCGTGCAAATGTATCCTGAGGAGACAGGGTCAAAATGTCAGAGACAGAGGAGGCATTCTGCCCAGTGCCACTCATGAGTGAAGCTCAAGCTGGCAGAGCCAAGTTATCTAAGATGCCACCCCTAAAGATTCTGATGAGATGTCCCTAATTAACAGAGGAAATCTGCCCACATCCCACCCAAGAACAGAGGGCCAAAAGGCCTGAAATGGGGGCATTTATAGCCAATTCCTGGGGTTTCAAGATGAGGGCAGGGCTAGGGTTGTGGCTCAATGGTAGAGCACTTGCCTAGCATATGTGAGGCACTGGGTTCGATTTTCAGCACTGCATATAAATAAATGAATGAATAAAGGCCCATCAACAACTAAAAATAAAAAATACTAAAAAGAAAAAAAAAAGATGAAGGCAAGGAAGAAGAGAAAATCTTTACTGTGTTGGTGATGTCATAGACCACGATGGCAGCCTGGGCCCCCCGGTAGTACATGGGGGCCAGGCTGTGATACCGCTCCTGTCCAGCTGTGTCCCAGATCTCAAACTTGACTGTTGTGTCGTCCAAGCAGACAGTCTGTGTAAGGAAGGCCGCTGTAAGAGAGAAGGTAGTGTCACCAGGCAAGGATGGGTTAGAAGCTACCCCTACATATTTTCTAGGCTTTGGTACTCAGAAGCCAACTGTTGAGATGGGCACTTCCAGACACTCCAGATAGCCACTGCCCCCAGCTTGGACCCAGAGCCATTTCAGTACCCTGTGGCTTGATGTTCAGGGAACACAGGGAACCTAACAGGGGAACGTGAAGCACTTATGCATGTGCTTCAAAGGAGGATACTCAGTGCTAGAAAAGATAGCCTGGACACAGCACAGGATCCCAGACAGCTCTGTGTAGAAAGCTGTTTTCAATGTCTGCCCTCCCCCACCTACTGAGGGCCTTGGGCACCGCCCCACTTCCCCCTTTCCAGCTCTGGATGAATGTTGAAGGGGCAGCAGGAAGACCGCTGACATGGCTCATTTTGTTTCCAGCTGCCTGGAAATCTCCTACCACCCAAGAGAGCAGAGAAAGGATGACTCAAGTCCAAGGCTGATCCTGGCTTCGACTTTACAGTGACCACTCAGGTGAGAGGCTGAGTCCAGACCCTAACTCGCAACCTAAATACTGACCAATGGGGAATCGACAATATGCACTGGGCTCCACAGAGGGTAAACTTCAACTTCAGCAATGCCAACCTATTACCAGCTGACTCACCAGCCATTCCCATCTGGAAAGCAGGAGGGGCCAGGGCAGATACATTGCTCCTTTTAGTAAGAAGAACCCTATAGATCCAGAGCTAGCTTTTCCTTCCCTGAGTCCAGGTCAGTGGAAAAGGCTCAGCCAAGGCCACACAATAAAAAAGAAGCTGAACCCAGGTAACTCCTACTAGTCATGACATGGAGTCCAGCTACTAGATTCAATTCTAGGGGCTAATGAGAAAGAGGTGCGGCAATCTCAGACATATTTAGTCTCTGTGTGGAGTCAGATTCTCCTATCTAGGCCAAGGTATTTCTTTGGCCTCTCTGAGGTATCCCATTTCCCTGTGTCCACTCACCTCCAATTGTGCTCTCCTGGTACTCATGGAATTGTCCCTTGACAAAGCGGAGGACGAGACTGGATTTGCCCACTGCAGACTCCCCTAGCAGAACCAGCTTAAACTGACAAATCTTGTTCCCAGCGGCTGGTCCGTTGGGCCGTGCTGCTCCTCCCCGACCCG